GCCTCTCACTGTTGTGGCCTCTCCCGTTGCGGAGCACAGGCTCCGGACGCGCAGGCTTAGTGGCCACGGCTCACGGGCCCAGCCGCTCCGCGGCATGTGGGATCTTCCCAGACTGGGGCACGAACCTGTGTCCCCTGCATCGGCAGGCGGACTCTCAACCACTGAGCCACCAGGGAAGCCCCTACAATCTTTTGTAATCTAAAAAAAGTGATCGTTTTACCTCTTCCTTTTAATTTTTAATACCTTTATTTTCTTTCTCATGTCTAATTGTGTCTGCTAACGTAATGCTATATTTTAAATATAGTTATAATAATGCTATATTTTAAATAAGTAAGTCAGAGGTGACATATCTGATCACTCTGAAGTCAGCCAGCATTTCTAGAAATTTGAACATTTCTTATGCACTAAACTTCCTAGGAATAAAAATCCATTAAACGTATAGAAACGCCAACTATTTAAATTTTGATCACTTAAATAAGGTTTGATATTTATATTGTCCCACCTTTTGAGTGGATTTTTTTAAAATAAATTTATTTATTTATATATTTTTTGGCTGTGTTGGGTCTTGGTTGCTGTGCATGGCCTTTCTCTAGTAGCGGCGAGTGGGGGCTACTCTTTGTTGCATTGTGCGTGCTTCTCATTGTGGTGGCTCATCTTGTTGTGCAGCACAGGCTCTAGGCGCGCGGGCTTCAATAGTTGTGGCTCGTAGGCTGTAGAGCACAGGCTCAGTAGTTGTGGCGCACCGCTTTAATTGCTTCGCCACATGTGCGATCTTCCTGGACCGGGGCTTGAACCTGTGTCCCCTGCATTGGCAGGCAGATTTTTAACCACTGCACCACCAGGGAGGTCCACTTTTGAGTGGATTTGATACTTGCCTTTCTGATTATGATAACTCTTTTCTTGTGTAGGTGTTATCAAAACTAATGCCACTCCAGAGAAAACAGATGAAGAAGAGAAAGGTAACTAATCTTTGAAACCCTGTAGCAAGAGACATAGTATCACCTAGGACATGGCTCTCTGGAGCCAGAGGCATTCTGAGTTATAAGATCAAGGAGATGAGGGGAATCAGCCAAGGAAATTGAAAACAGTGAGATAGAAGGAGAACCAAAAGAGAGTGGTATCCCGGAAACCAAAAGAAGGAAGTGTTTCAAAAGTAGGGAGTCATATATAGGTAATAAGTTGGTTAAGAGAACTAAAAATTGTTCAGTTGATTTAGAGTGTAGAGTCATTGGTGAGCTTGACAAGGGCTGTTGACGTCAGATGGGGAGGTTAGTTTAAAAAAACCTCTTCAGTGAAGAGAAAGTGAAGACATGAGTATAGACAGCCCTGTCAGGGAATGTTCCATAAAAGGGAGCAGAGAACTGGGACCGTAACTGGATGGGGACGTGGGATAAAGGAGGAAGCACATTTATGATGAGAGGTGTTACAACATGTGTACATGCTGGTGGGAATGATCCATTAGAGGGAGAAACTGATCATGCAAGAGAGAAGGTCACTGCTGGGAGAAATATCCTTGTCTGAAAGACGGAATGGGACCCATTGTATAAGTAGAGGGGCTAGCCTCAGGAGGATGGCGGTCCATCCACAGTTACAGCAGGGAAGGTGGAAAGGACGCTCACAAACGCAAGTGGGTGTGTGGGTTGTCACGGCAGCACTTGGAGGTGCTTCTGATTACGTTCACTTCTCAGGGAAGTGAGTAGCAGGGTCATTAGATGAGTGAGAATGTGGAGAGGTTAGAAGTTGAAGAGAGAAGAAGAGTGAATAAGTGGCGTATAGAAACATAAAGTCTTGCTGGGCAGCTCAGACCACTTGAGTCTAGCAGTCAGGAGTTTAAAGTGAGACCTTTTGGTGTGATTATGTTTTTCTCCCACCTTGCTGGGCCATTCAGGTGTGGGTGCAGACATGGGGAGAGAGGTTTCACAAGGGTGGGGTTTGCCCAGTGAGTATGAGGAAGATCTACTGGTTGTTTCCTACAGAGGACAGAGCCGCCCAGTCCTTACTCAACAAGCTGATCAGAAGCAACCTTGTCGATAACACCAACCAAGTGGAAGTCCTGCAGCGAGATCCAAACTCCCCTCTCTACTCAGTGAAGTCCTTCGAGGAGCTTCGGCTGTGAGTATCCGTTCCTTTGAACAACTGTTCCTTGCTAGTCCCTCCTTTATAAGACTTAGCATATCAGAGATCTTGTGGGAATTTTACTTTCTACTTTTATTTTTTAAAAATCTTAGTATATTTACTTTCTTTGACTAGTTAATAATTCACATGATTCAAAAGTTTAAAAGTATGAAAAAGTGATGGTCTCCCTCCACCCTTGTCTCTTGGCTACCCAGTTCTTCTCCTTAGGGATTTTTAAATGCCACAAATTTATTCATCATAGCTGAAAGTCTTTTTTCTTTTATGCTCTTAGAACTTTCAATAAAATATTGGCTGACAGGTGATTTCTGGATGTCAGGAACATTTCTTATTAGGTAAGCCCTTTTGTTAGACTATAGGGTTTACAGTGTTAAGAACAGTTTATCTGCTTTTATAAAATCTGTCCAAGAAGACTGTGCAGGATTCCCAGTAACTGCAGTGGAAATCAGCCTTCAGTGTTGCAGAATTTTTAAAAAAATCCAGAACCCAGAATTAAGCCTTACGTGTGCACGTTTATGCACTGTGGTGAGAATGACTTCTAACATGTCCTTGTTTTAAAGGCAGAGAATTATGTAATGTTATGCCAAGTTTTTCGTTTCCTTCAGTAAGTTAGTAAAGAGGTATTTAGGGTTGTTGGTTTATGTACATGACACTGTGCTGGGTGTTATGAGTAACACAAGACATAGCTACCCTTCTTGCTGCCTGCCAGGACTCAAATCATAGACAGAAAATAGCTAGTGAATAAGAAAGTGGTGGAATGAATGGATTCTTTGCCTTTGTTTAGCAAAATCTATCATATGCCCACTGTAGGCAAATAGGGGCCACATTTCTGCCAACTATTACCACCACTTGAGAGTAAGAGACACTTAAAATAAGAGAGTTAACTAGAACCAAATCAAGTTGTTAATGCAGCAATAGCTAAGAGCAAGGTTTTTAAAGTGTGGCCTTTTTTTTGAATATTTTCAGGACATTATACTTTTCTATGTGTATTTTCTCTGTCAAAGGCTTTTTTCAGCAAATCTGTCATTTCTGCTTCCATTCATAAATTCTGTCCGAGCAGCTATGTGTGCTCTGACAGCTTGCTTTTCCAAGTATCAGTGGTCTTTTTAAGTTCCTTTCATTTAAAGGACTGGAGTTCTCAGGTCAACCAGTGATGAACTGTCCTCTTTGAAAAGGCAAGTTCTTTCTGATTTAATTGTTAGTAGCCAAAGGAAACAAAGAATAAAACCTAGGTCACCTAATATACTTGGTCTATTTTTTACTGAAAAGATCTGGAAAATAAAAGAAAAATAATTAGCCACTGAAAGTTCTTGGATCACTTGAGTCCTCTTTCAGTAGTGACTTTGTTTCCTTGGCAACCAAATCAGAATCTGCTAAGCTTCACAACCTTTTCTTCCAAATGGATGTTACTGTTCAAAGTTCTTTGTGTCTGAGAACCACCATATGCCAGAAGAATTGCCTTTTAGAGAGCCTGTTAAACTCTAAGGAAGGCTTAGAGAACACTCTTGACTTGGTTTGACTTTACTTTAAAAACAGTGTGGTGGGATTTTTGTTAAACACCCTGTCAATTTAGAGGTAGCAGAGAGCTTATTATAAATGTACTACAAAAGCAGCTTTATTTGATATTTGTTGTGTGGCTACTTATGTAAGAAGTTGGTGCTCTTCTAGTTTTGATTTTGACTAGACATAATAAGTAAATCTAATCACTCGTAAAGTTCAGTATGATAACTGAACTCCCTTTACCTATTTACTAGAAACTGGCTGAATCAATTTCCTTACCTCTCAATTGTCCCGAGTTCTTGCACAGCTGGCTTTGGAAGGCCCATGGAACACAAAATGACTGTGGTTCAGTGGAGCATCTGCACTGAGAAATGAAAACTGAAATGTCATTCCCTAAAGGGACTTCTGTATCTTAGCAGCATAGTAAGCCGTGTTTATTTTTAGATATGTCTTTTATAATTTATTTTATACTATGAATTAGTAAGTACCATTCTTCCAGTATCCTGGGAATGGTTGTCATCCAAGGCCAGCCAAATCTGCGGGTCTCCTGAAAGATGGATTTCTCCAAGAAAGGAAACTAGCCCGGATTTTATAAATTGCATAGTAGTTTCAGATTAAGATTTAGTAGGGAAAGATTTTGGTTTTGTTTTGTTTTAGTTAGCATTTTTTAAGGCATAGGAAAATATGTCTGACAGGAAGTATCATTCTTTGCTAGATATAGGGAAAAATAAAATTCTAGGCTTTTAAACAATTTCAACAACTAGGAATCCATCTTTCTCCCTGGCCTCCTAGGAAACCACAGCTTCTGCAGGGAGTCTATGCCATGGGGTTCAATCGACCATCCAAGATACAAGAGAATGCGTTACCCATGATGCTTGCTGAGCCGTAAGTATATGGACCCTGGCACACCTCTTCAGAACTGGGTTAAACGTCTTCCACCAAGAGCTGTAGTGTTCCTGAGCACAAGATGGGCCGTTGAGAGCAACGTGCTTCTTCAGGGGAACAGCTTAGACAGGTGCAGAGAGAGTCAGATGCAATTCAATACAGTTTCTGCCTTTTCCACTTAATAAAAACTGATAGAAAAAGTTAGTGCTGTTATTCTATGCAGTTTTAAAAACTGTTTTGTTGTTGCTATTGTTTTTTAATAATTTTAAAATTTTTGAGACCTGCAAAAAATATCAGGAGCAATACCAGGAACATCTCCGTAACCCCATCCTGCCAAGAAATAAAGCTGCCATTAATGTAGTCGGCAGTTGTAGCCCCCATGTAACTCCCTCCATTCACAGCCCCCTCCCCTCCCCCTCCCCTCCCCCTCCCCCTCCCCCTCCCAAGTGAGCATCACTGATGTGGGTCATTATTCTCTCGTTTCTTTTTTTTTTTTTTTTTTGCGGTATGCGGGCCTCTCACTGTCGTGGCCTCTCCTGTTGCGGAGCACAGGCTCGGGACGCGCAGGCTCAGCGGCCATGGCTCACGGGCCTAACCGCTCTGCAGCATGTGGGATCTTCCCGGACCGGGGCATGAACCCGCGTCCCCTGCATAGGCGGGCGGACTCTCAACCACTGTGCCACCAGGGAAGCCTTCTCTCATGTATTTTTATCCTTTTACTACGTAGTTTGCTTTCATTGTTTGTTTTTTTTTTGGCCACGCTGCGTGGCTTGTGGGATCTTAGTTCCCTGACCAAGGATTGAACCCGGGCCCCAGCCCTCGGTAGTGAAAGCGCTGAGTCCTAACCACTGGACTGCCAGGGAATTCCAAGTTTGCATATTTTTAAACCTTACATAAATGGTATCATACTTAGGTAGCAACTTTTTTCATTCAACTGTATTATTTGTTTGTTTGTTTGTTTATATTTTGGCTGCACTACACAGCATGTGGGATTTTAGTTCCCCGACCAGGGATCAAACCTGTGCCCCCTGCAGTGGAAGCTCGGAGTCTTAACTACTGGACCACCAGAGAAGTTCCTCTTTTTTAATGATAAAAATGCCACCTAGGACTTCCCTGGTGGCTTAGTGGTTAAGAATCCGCCTGCCAATGCAGGGGACACGGGTTCGAGCCCTGGTCTGGGAAGATCCCACATGCCGTAGAGCAACTAAGCCCGTGTGCCACAACTACTGAGCCTGCGCTCTAGAACCCATGAACCACAACTACTGAGTCCGCGTGCCACGACTACTGAAGCCCACACGCCTAGATCCCGTGCTGCGCAACAAGAGACGCCACCGCAATGAGAAGCCCACACACCACAACAAAGAGTAGCCCCTGCTCACCGCAACTAGACAAAGCCCAGACGCAGCAACAAAGACCCAATGCAACCAAAAATAAATAAATTAAAAAAAAAAAAAGTGCCACCTATTCCCATGACATTGGGTTACCTGAAGTGAAATGTGAAAGTTCCCTCTAAAGCATCTGACTTGTTCTCTTAAATTTTCCATAAAGATGAGAAAAGGGAGCACATAGTAGGAGCTGAGTCCTGAAGACACATTATGGCTCAGGGATTTGTCTGGGCACAGATGTTACTCTGCAGTCTTAATTTCCATAGGCCCCTTGGGGTATAAAACTAGGGCACTCTAGCTGTGCTAGAGCCTAGAATGAGGATTTCTTAGTGTGAGCCCATCTAAAATAATCATTTCACTTAATATTTAAGCAGTTTTTTTTAACATCATATAAAAAGTTTATCATTGTACTCAGTGCAGAAAACCTGGATAATAGAAGCATGAAGGGGGAAAATCCCTATTCCTACCACCCAGAAAGAACGTTTGGACACTTGTTTTTTGTTTTGTTTTTAATAAATTTGTTTATTTATTTTTGGCTGTATTGGGTCTTCGTTGCTGTGCACAGGCTTTCTCTAGTTGCAGCGAGTGGGGGCTACTCTTTGTTGTGGTGCACAGGCTTCTCATTGCCGTGGCTTCTCTTGTTGCGGAGCATGGGCTCTAGAATGCAGGCTCAGTAGTTGTGGCACACTGGCTTAATTGCTCCGCGGCATGTGGGATCTTCCCAGACCAGGGCTCGAACCTGTGTCCCCTGCATTGGCAGGCGGATTCTTAACCACTATGCCACCAGGGAAGTCCCGACACTTGATTGTTATTAACCAATATTATTTTCATCTCTGTTCTTCCTTCATCCAGCCCACAGAACCTGATTGCCCAGTCTCAGTCTGGTACTGGTAAAACAGCTGCCTTCGTCCTGGCCATGCTCAGCCGAGTGGAACCAGCAGAGAGATATCCCCAGGTGAGGGGGTGGAATCCTGGGGGCCCTGGCTTGCTCGTCCTGGGAATGGCTGCGCCATCTGGGGGGGGTTGTCTAATGAGGGTGCCCCTGGTACAGTCTGAATGCGTCTGATGCCTCAGACTGTTGCTCAGGCAAAGCCCAGTGGTGCACCAGGCCCTTACCTGGGTAGAATTGATTTGGAAGCAGCAGCCTTAAACAGTGGCTTCTGAAGGCATCTGCCAAGCCAGGGCTCCCTATTGAAGGCTTCTGTCTACAGCTGAAATGTGGGCCTGGCTGACGAGGATGTGGTTTCCTGCACTGTTCAAGTGGTAATGACATCGCTGTACTTGTTGTACAAGTACAAGTACTGTTGTCTGTTACTACAAGGCTCTCCTAAACTGACCTATGATCTGCCCGTTAGTGTCTGTGCCTCTCCCCAACGTATGAGCTGGCGCTTCAGACAGGAAAAGTGATTGAGCAGATGGGCAGATTTCATCCCGAACTAAAGCTTGCTTATGCTGTTCGAGGCAATAAATGTGAGTATAAAGGGGCAAGACCTAGGCCGTGAGTTGGGGCGGGTGGTTGGGTATATGAATTTTGAAGATGAGGTGATGAGATTCAACTTTCTAGTTCAGTCTGACCTTGGAGCCCAGTGTTGCCTTTAGCAAATCTACTTAAATACTTGCTGATTTGTTAAAAATTCTCTCCACTCCTAAAATAAGATTTTTAGTTGTTAAAAAAAAAAATCCCTGCATGAGTCATGGGGTTCTTCCAGTGTGGAGTATTTCACTTAGGAGCCAGGGTTTGAATTCAGCACCCAGAGTTCCGGAAGCTGCTTACGAGGGAGGGATGAGCACTGAAGATGGTAGGTTGGGTCAGTTCCCTTTCTTTAAAAGTAAAGCACAGCTTTAGTAAGAGTAATCTAAGAGCACGTACAGTTCACTTGCTCTTACCAAATCAGAAATCCTTCCACCAATTCTTTTTTCATGTGTTCTGTAGAATGTAGAAAATATGGGTTACATGGGAGGAGGGGCAGGTAGAAAATGGGTAATGGAGAAGTTATCAGAATATAAAAAACTACAAATCAATTAGAAAAAAGTAAGCATTCCAATAGGAGAATGGACAAGAGAGGCCCAGTTGAACAGACGCTTCACAAAAGAAGGAATTCAGATGGCTAGTAAACGTGAAAAGATGATAAGCTTCATTAATCATCAGGGAAACATCAAGTGAAACCACTGTATGCCTCTCAGATGGTAGAAATGAGGAAGTCTGGCAAACCAAGTGTTGACCAAGATGGAGAAGAACTGGAAGGCTCACGTGCTCCAGTGGGGAGTATACATTGGCACACTGACTTCCAGAAGCAGTTGGCATTACCTAGAAAAATGGAAGAGAGATATCCCTTCAACCCAGCAGTTTATAATCGCCTAGAGCAGCGGTTCTTAAACTTTTTGCTCTCTTACACTCTTAAACATTATTGAGGACCCCAAGTACTTACTTTGGAAGAATATGAAGAAAATCTAGCCTTTCTTATAATTTTAGATATTGTTTTTTTGGATGCCATACCAAAACTTATTAACAAATGGTAATTACTTAAAAGTTAGTTGCCATGTGATATCTGAAATCATATTAATGAATTCTTCGTACTGTTACATTAAAATTCCTTGGTCTCCCTTGCACTTTGAATGCATCTTTTGCCCAACTGTGGTTTTCTAACATCATATCTTGGTCATTTGGAAAATATTGTCTTATTGAGTTATGCTGATCTTCCAAATGTTGACATATTTCATAATACAAAATTTTAAATAGCATTTAAAATGCATTAATATCACCACCAACCAACTCAGAGGAGTTTATACATGGAGAAACTCTCAAACCTACAGCAACACATAGAAGTGTTCCAAAATTCTAATTTTCCCTTAAGCTGAAACATTATCATGACAACAAATAACAGTCAGTTGTTTTCATTTAAGTGATAGGGTCTCTGTTCATTTTCAAGAAAGTGTATATCAAATTCCCTACTTGATTTTCTTTCTTCTTTTTTTTTTTTTGGGCGCACTGTGCGGCTTGTGGGACTTTAGTTCCCCGACCAGGGGTCGAATTTGGGCCCTCGGTAGTGAGAGCGCGGAGTCCTAACCAGTGGACCACCAGGGAATTCCCCGTTTGATTTTCTGTAGTTTGTCTGTCGTTCAACAAACAAAAACGGCTAGTACAGTTACCACACAAATAATCACACAAGGGCTTTTCCTGGAGGAAACCATCATGTTTCAGCATGCAGAAAGAGTACTTTAACCAGAAATTATTAGTATTTTTGTGTGTGTTTGATGTCTTACACTGATAGGTGCAGCTAAGTGTAGTGTACCAGAATCTTGAGACAACATGGATCTTCTCTAGATTGTTTTACAGGGGACTTCACTGTGTGAAGGATTAGTATATTAACTATTTAAGGTATCATTTTTTTTAAAGTTCAGTTTAGACTGATGGGCAGTGGACAGTGAGAACCACAAGGTATTGAAGAGTTCATTTAAAACTTTTCCAGTGGAGTTAATGAATTCCTGACCGAAGTCCCTTTCTCCTCGAACTTTAAATTTTGTTTTGAAAATAGGTGACATTCACATGTTTCAAAATTGAAAAGGATATATGGTAGAAACTTTTCTTTTCCCATACCCTTCAACCACCTGGTTCTGCCTGCCTAAAGGCACCCAGTACTAACCCATTCCTCACATGTCCTACCAGAGATAGTCTGTGTGGCTACAGGCAAGTGATAATGTGATAATGTGTAGGGACTTCCCTGACAGTCCAGTGGTTAAGACTCAGCGCTTCCATTGCAGGGGGCACGGGTTCGATCCCTGGTCGGGGAACTAAGATCCTGCATCCCTCATGGCACGGCAGTAGAGATAGACGAAATAGATAGAACACTCACACACGCATGTACATATATTACATGCATTCTTTTTTGCCCCTATTGGTATACAAATTGCTCTGCAACCTCTTTTTCACATTTAATAATGTATTTTGGAGATTGTTCCACATCAGTTCCTAAACAGTTTTATACTTTTGTTGGTGTCATCCATTCGGTGCGTCATATTTTGCTTAGTTATGTTTTAATGAATGCATATCCTTGCATATATGTTATTTCACACATATTCATGTACATACAGGATTGATTCGTAATAGGGGAAGCACTGGTCAAAGGCTACATGCATTAGTAATTTTGATAGATGGTTATATCAGTTTCAACTCCCACCAGCTATAGTTTGAGAGTAATGTGTTTTTTTCAATCAAAGAGAAATTGTACTTAGGAAAACTGTCTACACAATTAGAATATCTAACAAAGCAAAAAATCACTGGGCCAGGATGCTAGGACTAAAAACTACCAATTTATAAGGAAATCAATGAACCATGAGTGAAGGGATGGTATAAAAAGAAAAAGTGTTATGCTAAAGAGAAAGAATTGGGTGATGGGGAATTACAGGAGAAAGTAGAAAAAGGGAAACTAACACTCATGGAGGGTTGACTGTGTAGGATTTAATCCTGACCACAGTGCAGTGAGATGGGTGTCATTATGCCCATTTTACAGTAGAAGAACACAAAACTTTTGGGTAACACCCCTGTGGTTTGAAATCTGGAATTAACTTGTTCTAGCTCTGGAAGGATGGGCAAGGAGGCTTTCATTTTGAAAGCGGGTTTAGCCATGGAAGTACCCACAGAACACATCTTGTCTCCACAGTGGAAAGAGGTCAGAAGATCAGTGAGCACATTGTCATTGGCACCCCTGGGACCGTTCTGGACTGGTGCTCCAAGCTCAAGTTCATTGACCCCAAGAAGATCAAGGTGTTTGTTCTGGATGAGGCTGACGTGATGATAGCTACTCAGGGCCACCAAGATCAGAGCATCCGCATCCAGAGGTAGGAACTCCTGAGCCAGGAGGAGCTTCTCGGCCTCCTGATCTGCAGCATCGTCTCCTTTTACTTCACCCTCGTCTTGCCCCTGCCAGTTCTTTACTCTGCAGCTTTCAGAGGCGTTTGTTTGGTGGGCCATTTCCATGTCGCACTGACCATACCCCCAGCCTGGGTTGAGGAAGGAGACTTAGGGACTCTACCACCAGCCGTCCCTGCCCCACGTCTGCTCCTCCCTCCTCCCTGCAGTGCTCCTCCCTGCTTTGCCACCTTCCTGGGGACGCA